TGAAAAAGGGGCGAGGCTATTGTTGTCAGAGGATAAGCTGACTGTGATGTCAGCATTTTGAAAAGATGGTGACTGAATAACTGGTAAATGTTTTTTTTTTTTTTTTTTTTGAGTCATCCTGTCTTGGTGGGAGATATTTGTTTCAGTTAGAATATGATAGTTTTTAATTTAACGGTCATCTCCTTAATTGACAAAAAGAACATTGTGTATATACATATATGCATAAATGCAGGCATACCTCACTTTAAGATGTTTCACTAATACTGCACTTTTAATTAATTATTATGTTTATTATTATTATTATTACCGGCACTTGGGTTGCTCTTAAGATGGTTTGCAGCAGTGATGTGCACACCAACTGACTCTGAGCTGAATCAAGCATCGTTATTTTTAGGTCTAACACTATTGCTCACGTAACAAATTATTGTGTTATCCTGAACCAAACCACTATATTAGTGAGGTGTGTCTGTACTCCCACTTTTTTTATGTCTACCTTTAACTCCAAAAACTATATAATGCTAAAAATAAAAATGGAAATGGCAAACAGCTATAACCTCTGAATCATATAAATACAATATAACAGTATTTTTTATTACAAATTGCTAATTCCATCAAAATCAAATAAACAAAACTGATACATTATCATTTATGAGTTTCTTACAAAAATATAGGAAAATATAGTTTATCCTTAATCAAGAATGTCTACTAAACATGCCAAGATAATGATGTACAATCTGCTAAATATCAAATAAATACTAAAAAGAGTGAGTATTAATAGTAACAAAGACAGGATAAAGACCACCACTGTTGTAGCAACCGTTCAAGATTATTTTAAAAACTTCTTGTCTAAAACAAGAGAAAAATTATGCTGTGATTAGAAAAAAATTACAAAAAATCATAAAACATTCATTAAACTAAAGAAGTACTGTACTGTAATAAACACTGCAGAAGTAATAAGGTGAAGTAAATTCAATTAAAGTTAAGCCTTTTTATTCTTAAAAATTTTACCATCTCATATTGGTTAAATGGTAGTTTTATGATTTTTTCTACTGTTATTGCACTTCAAAACTAAAAAAAATCTCATTTTATTTTCTCAGATGATATACTTAGATGTATAATGTGTTATGCATCTACATTTTCCAAATGGATCTAGCAGTAAAAAATAAAAGTGGATCCATTTGATGGGGGAAGGAAGTGGAGGTACTGGGAAGATGGAGGGAATCTTTTGAGTTGTTATATGCTGAGGAGGAAAGGGAAACAGTGATTTCATGCAATAGGCAGGGAGGCATAACATCTTGAAGGAGTGAGGTGGAACAAGATGTGTGTGGGGAGGAAAGAACGTGAGGAAGTGAGTAAAATGAAAATGAGTCAAGTAGCTGGGATACATGGGATCAAGATAGAAATGTTAAAGGCTTGTGAGGATGTTGCTTAGAGTCAATGATGTATTTACTCAATATATGCAAGCAATGAGGAGAGGGGTACCTAAAGATTAGCAGAGAGCATGTGTAGTTCCTTTGTATACACGGGAAAAAAGAATAGAAGCGTGTGTAAGAACTGTACGGAAATAAGCCTAACGAGATACAGAGTAAAGTGTATAGAAGTTATTATTGAAAGAATTAAAGGCAAGACAAAGAGGATGATTACAGAGGAACAAGGAGATTTTATGAAGGGTTACCAAAAATATTATTCAGATGGATGAGGAGGGGTGCTGAGGTTGTCTGACCATTTAGAGAGGATAGAGTAAAATAGGATGACTAGGAGGGTGTATAAATCTCGGGTGGAGGAAAGGAAGGGGTAGTGGTTGCCCAAGAAAAGTTTGAAAAACAATGATGGAATGAATGATGGTGAAGGTGTTTCCTCTTTTATGGGTCACCCTACCTCGGTGGAAGATAGCCAGTGTTAAAATAATTTAAATAGCTTTATTACCAGTGGTGGGCACAGTTCCGCTAATCCGCAAATTAGCAGAACTAAATTTTTGTTTAGTGAATTAGTGTTTCCGCTAACTTCAGAAACTGTTAGTGTACTAATTAGCTTCCGCTAAATAAAGTTCCGCTAACTTTGAGTCCACTAAAAAAAATCATACGTTATTAGTAGTCGGAAAGCAATGCATTTTCAATGGCGCATGTGTTTGTTCCTGTCTGCTGTGGGTGTTTCTCCAACAGTCAGTCAGGCACGGTATTGGCTGACTATGTGTAAATGTGACTTGTCAATGCAGCAGCATCTGAGTAGCATTGTTATAGTCCTCCATACCCCTCCCCTCAATCAGACAATACCATCTTAGGAGATATATCTCCTATTTTGAAACTTCTCATTATGCAAGCTGTCATTATTCTGCCGTTTGCTGTACATATTTGTTTTACTGTGATCTCTGACATTATTTTTCCTAATTTTGTACTTGTCTCTTATATTCTAGTAAGTTTATTCAGGTATACACAAATACAGTTACATAGATTATCACACATAGCAGCATGTGTGTAGAGAACCTAGGATAACCCCAAAAAATTAGACAAAGTGACTTATTTCCATTGGGGTTCTTTTAATACCTTATATTATACCATAAAAGAGATAATATCTTATTATTATACTTTTTTCTTCTTTCAACACACCGGCCGTATCCCACCAAGGCTGCGTGGCCCAAAATAAAAACAAAAGTTTCTCCTTTTATATTTAGTAATAGATACAGGAGAAGGGGTTACTAGCCCTTCTCCCAGCATTTTAGTTGTCTCTTACAACACAACTGGCTTACGGAGGAAGAATTCTGTTCCACTTCCCCATGGAGATAAGAGGAAATAAACAAGAACAAGAACTAGAAAGAAAATATATAAAAGAAAACCAGAGGGGTGTGTATATACATGCTTGTACATGTATGTGTAGTGTGACCTAAGTGTAAGGAGAAGTAGCAAGACTTACCTGAAATCTTGCATGTTTATGAGACAGAAAAAACACACCAGCAATCCTACCATCATGTAAAACAATTACAGGCTTTCGTTTTACACTCACTTGGCAGGACGGTAGTACCTCCCTGGGCGGTTGCTGTCTACCAACCTACTACCTATCTTTATTATACTATAAAGGATATATACTAGGAATAAGGTAAAATGAGTTAGTATTTATATTTACAAGTGTAAGCTAAAAAAAATAAAAAATCTTTCTCCTCCCTTTCTGTCTCTACATTCATTAGGAACCTTTTGGCTCTCTTCTTGAACTGCTTCATGCTATGACTGGCTTTGACATGTGCAGGCAGTCTGTTCTACGTCTTTATTGCTGTACAATAAAAGGTATTTGAAGCCTGGCCACTGACTGTGGGTACAACAAAGTTGTGTTCCCTTCCCTTAGTACTATGATTACTTTGGTTCTCAGCCTTGACAAAACTGGCAGCAAGATATTCTGGACACTGTTTGTGAGCAATTTTATAAACTTGATTTAACTTCAGTTGTTTTACTCTGTCTTCAACTCTCAGCATATCCAACTGTTGTAATTCATCCTGGCCTATATGTTCTCTTGGACCCAGGCCTACATATTTTCTTGGACACAGGTCCAGGATGAATCTTACCATTTTGTTCAGAGTGATTTGTAGTCTAGCTTTCAGTTTTTTTGTCAAGGCAGAGTACCATGAAGAGCAAGTGTAGTCCATATGACATTGTATAAGGGCTAGACATAGGGTCCTGCGAGCCTCAGTAGGTAGACACTGTGCCTCAGTAGGTAGACACTGTACCCAGTAGGTAGACACTGTGCCTCAGCAGGTAGACACTGTGCCTCAGTAAGCAGATACTGTGCCTCAGTAGGTAGACACTGTGCCTCAGTAAGTACATACTGTGCCTCAGTAGGTAGATACTGTCTCAGTAGGTAGACACTGTGCCTCAATAGGTATACACTGTGCCTCAGTAGGTAGATACTGTGCCTCAGTAGGCAGACACTGTGTCTCAGTAGGTAGACACTGTGTCTCAGTAGGTAGACACTGTGTCTCAGTAGGCAGACACTGTGCTTGTCTGTAGAGGAACTTTAGTCTGGCATTCACTTTCTTTACTATGCTGTTCCCTATCAATTCTCCTGAAATGCATGGGTCAAAGGGGATTCCCAGATATTTTACTGAGGAATTATCAAATTGTATACAATACCGACAAGTTGGTAGATAAGACACATAGGCAACATTTAGGCAACTTTATTCCGAAACGTTTCGCCTACACAGTAGGCTTCTTCAGTCGAGTACAGAAAGTAGGCGGGAGAAGTAGAGATGTGAAGACGATGTAATCAGCCCATCACCCTTGAAGCCGAAGATTTGAGGTTTTCAGTCCCTCAGCCTGGTGAAATTCTGTTCCAAAGTCTGAAACTAACTGAAGATCAAGTGACAGTGTTGAGACTTAAATACTGTCGGAAGGAGAGGTGCAGAGTAGAAGTAGTGAGAATGTAGCCACTGAGAGGTCAGGTCCCTCTCAGATCAAACATTTCTCACTTGAAAAAGTTGTCCAAGGTGTTTTCTCTTCTGTACCAAGATGCCATTGTGTTGCAGTGTCTGACAGAGTAATTATCAAATGGTATACAATATTGACAAGTTGGTAGATAAGACTCATAGGCAACATTTAGGCAACTTTATTCCGAAACATTTCGGAATAAAGTTGCCTAAATGTTGCCTATGTGTCTTATCTACCAACTTGTCGGTATTGTATACCATTTGATAATTACTCTGTCAGACACTGCAACACAATGGCATCTTGGTACAGAAGAGAAAACACCTTGGACAACTTTTTCAAGTGAGAAATGTTTGATCTGAGAGGGACCTGACCTCTCAGTGGCTACATTCTCACTACTTCTACTCTGCACCTCTCCTTCCGACAGTATTTAAGTCTCAACACTGTCACTTGATCTTCAGCTAGTTTCAGACTTTGAAACAGAACTTCACCAGGCTGAGGGACTGAAAATCTCAAATCTTCGACTAAAAGGGTGATGGACTGATTACATCGTCTTCACATCTCTACTTCTCCCGCCTACTTTCTGTACTCGACTGAAGAAGCCTACTGTGTAGGCGAAACGTTTCGGAATAAAGTTGCCTAAATGTTGCCTATGTGTCTTATTTACTGAGGAAACTGAAGTGACGGGTTCCCCATTACACAGGACATTAAAATTATTTGCCCTTCTCAGTTTACTTTTCACGTCAGAGTATGGCTTCCGTTTTCCCGAGGTGTAACAATAGTTTGTTGTCTACTAACTATTTGCTGCAGGACTCCAATTCTAGTGTTATTACATTAGCTATATCTTATGGGTCTTTACCTGGCACTAACAAAGCACTGTCATCCGCATACAGTAGGAGTTTGTAATCAACACTGATGGTCGTGTCATTTAAAAGTAAAAGACTAAAATGCTAAGCCGAATCTGAATTCATGTGAAAAAGTTAGCGGTTAGCATTAGCTTCTGCTAATTTTTTCAGCTGTTTAGCAGTTTAGCATCAGCGGAGCTAATTTTTTAGTTAGCGGATTAGCGAAGCTAACTTTTCGGTAAGCTGTGCCCACCACTGTATATTACCATATGTCAAACAATACTAAACAAAATAAAAAAAATATTTACCAGTATATATTCCTTTACATTTCATAAATTGCATATTAATTATCATTTTTATCAAGACAATTATTAATTAAAACATTCTAAAAATTTAGCCTTCCACATTTAATTGCACATCCACACCCACAGTGGAAATGTAAATATGTATAAATTACTGGGTCAGTCAGGTTAAGCACTAATGAGTTAGTAAATGGATGGGGAAACTAGATGAACTTAATGGACTCCTTTGTTCAAGAGATCCACTGATGAACCATCCCTATCAATATTCCCTTGCAGTTACTTGGACCAAACTCTGGATTTATACCTGTATCATACTTGTAGTACATACAGTACATCAGATAAATAAAGGTACTGTAGAAATTAATAACACATCCACAAGAGACATGCATGAATAGTGTCCATAAAAACTGAAGTCACCAGAAGATTTATACTATTTCCCAAGAAACACAGTTAAATAAAGTTAAACACATTCTTAAAGACAGATAAAGTAAAATAAGTAATTTTATACTACTTAAATTATAGGAAGCTTATGCAAGATTTTTTAGGTTAGTTTTGGTAGATATTAAAAAAAAAAGACCTCTTGTATAACTTTTGTTAACTGTTTTCCTTTGGGGCCAATCTTCAGATGATCTCAAAAATCTTACAAAAAATTTCAGTACTGTACTGATAATTCATAATTTCAATCAGCCTTAGTTTTTATTTTGCTGACTTATGCATACAGCTGACTAACAGCTCCAGAGATTTAGCATCACCAGGTACAGACAAGTACGTAAATATAAAGTGAGAAACTACTCTAACAGAAATATGAAACACAAATAAGAGGGGTCTGTATATCTTGGTGTGTTTGAAACCTTTCAAAGGCTGAAGAGTCTTCTCTCACTGAGGCCAAAATACACATCTTTTAGCTGGCTTTCATATTTCTGTCCAAGCATTTCCCATTTATGCATCAATTTGTATTTATGACACTTTAATCTAAGCATATAAATGTAACACCAGGATCTACAGTATTTTGTTATGCTTTACCAACTTTGTCACAATCTAAGGTTTGTTACACTGAAATCATTTACAATGTGCTTCTTTCTCAGCACTTCACCTCTGCTTAGCCTTCCATCATCTCATATTCTGTTTCACTGATGGCAAATGGTTTGAGACTGATATCTGTATAATGCACTGGAGTTGTCATGCCATTTGAGGGTGTTATATGAGAGGAATTTTCTGAGACATGATCACACTTATTCAGCCAAATACCTGATGATATAGTTGAAGCTTTAGAATGATGACTGCTGCTCACATGTTCCAGTTTTTCTAAGCATAAGTTAACTCTTCCCTCTAGATTTTCCAGACGGGAGTTGACTCTACCCTCCAACTGCTCTATTTTACTTTCCACTTTTCCCTGAAACAATTCTAACTTGGCCATCATGGGAGTCATGGCAGCTTCTATACATGATGCAATTATTTGAGCATTTAGAGAGCCTAGGACATCTTGATACGGCTGTTCATTAGACAATGTACTATTTGAAATGGGAGACAGAAAATGACTGAATTCTCCACATATTTGTTCTTGATTCATGGAAAAAGATGGATTGGAATCTTCATTATTAAAATCTACTTCAGGTACCTCTACTTCACAGTTCTCTATTTTAATATCATACACACACTCTTCATTACAATTTAAATTTGTTACATTTTTTCTTTTTGTTTTTTTGTCATACTGTTTTCCATGTCTTGCAAACGTTTTGTCTTTCGAAGTTACACTGTTATTTTTCTCAGTAATAATAGAGCAAAGTCCACTATTTAACTTAGATTTACGAGGGAACCTAACTTGCTTCATTAGGAAATTGTCAAAAACTTTATTGCTTTCCTGGTCTGAGGAATATTGCAGAATTTCATCAACTTCTCGTACATTACTGGAATCAGAAACAGCCTTTGCTTCCATTTTGCATTTCCTTGGGAGATTGTAAGTAATGCCATTGTTTTCAACTATCTCTGTAGAATCCTTCGCAATTTCTTTATTTTCATTTATTACCACTGACTCAGAATGTAACTTTACTCTATTTTTATTTCTTTTTGAAGAATAACAAATTAAAGACTTATCTTATCACCCTCCAATTCTGCACTTTCACTTACTATCTTTGATTCAGAATGTAATTTCACTTTGCTTTTATTTCTTTTTGAAGAATAACAAATTAATGATTTACTTTCATCACCCTCCAAATCATCGATCTCTTCTGATAAAATACTTTCATCATAATTAATTGGTACTCTAAATTTACGGGTCCTTGGAAAGCTCCAAAACTCGTCACTTTGACATGTATCTAGTGGATCTGTTGAGGTATCCTCACACTCATTTAGGATTTTTGTTTCACAGTTACTCGACTCCGTAAATTTACTCGTTTTGGAGGTGTCCTGATGGTCTATACTAGATTTTTCCATTTTCAAGGTATTATTTTCACTCAAATTCAAAGTATTTCCTGGAACTACAGTACAAAATCTTTTGGGAGGATTCATCATGCTATGCAATTCGTTTTTCATTATATTCAGCAGCCTCATCTCACGGCTAAATTTTGTATTCTCAAAGAGACTCATGGCAGAGTTGACATTTGATGGTAATTCACCCCAAGGAAAAATACTGGGCTCCACCCCCATTTTAAGTTGGCAGACCTTCCCATCCCCTCGGCAAATGACGTGAAAATCATCTTCTCTGAAATGTCCCATGCACAGTCCAATTCTTCCAGGCAAAACTTCTCTGGGATCTACATCTGGGAACTTTTCATTTAGTTTGGATTTTCTGGCCCATTTTATTCTCCACTCAACATCATCTGGGAATTTAACAAATCTACTGGAGTATGCTCTTGTAAAACAACCTGGTACCATGCATTCTATCCGAAAGCTCTTTTTTCGCTTTCCTGAATACAAGTTCTTTTTTCTACGTCGAGGGGGTTTCCACATTCCAGGGGTTGTCATACACCTTGGCATTCGATCATTCTGTGAATCACCTTCATGGGCTATTTCATTAATTGCATTCTGATCTTCAGATTTTATTGATGAATTTCCTTTCTTCACTGCAATCCGAACTGTCAAGCATGAGTCAGACTTATGTTTCTCTATAACACTATAACCTAAAATATCAGAATCAGCTTTACAGTGCCCATCTTCCCTGGGTATAACCTCCATTTCATTTTGAAGAGAGCAATGTGCATTATCATAAACATTGCAACATATTTCTTTACTGTCAAGGCTACAAACATCATTACATGATCTTGAGTTTTCATCTGTATCAACAAACTGTGTATTTCTTGGTTCCATTAAAACAAACATTTTCTTTTCAAACTGACCAATGCTACATAGATGAGTAAAGTATTTCCCAGCTTTTTGTTCAATTTTACCGACAGTTTTGGTTCCAACGACTGCTGGGACAATCTGCAAGACACAAAATAGCATTAGACATTAAAAAATATATGTACATGTAGTACTATATGTATAACAAAATAATTACATCTTTCAGTTTTAGATTTCTTAATAAGTAATTATCACTTCTTAAAAAAGTTTAATTAAAAACACAATCATCCACAATACATTACCAAATATTCTAGATGAGATCAATCATATGTCATATCTACAACATAAGCTCTACTTTCCTGAGGAGGATTTTAAATTTATTTAAAACTGTGTACGAGTACTAATCTTTCTTTCAACACACCGGCCGTATCCCACCAAGGCAGGGTGGCCCAAAAAGAAAAACAAAAGTTTCTCCTTTAAATTTAGTAATTTATACGGGAGAAGGGGTTACTAGCCCCTTGCTCCCGGCATTTTAGTCGCCTCTTACAACACGCATGGCTTACAGAGGAAGAATTCTGTTCCACTTCCTCATGGAGATAAGAGGAAATAAACAAGAACAAGAACTAGAAAGAAAATAGAAGAATACCCAGAGGGGTGTGTATACATATGCTTGTACATGTATGTGTGGTGTGACCTAACTGCAAGTAGAAGTAGCAAGACATAGCTGAAATCTTGCATGTTTATGAGACAGACAAAAGACACCAGCAATCCTTCCATCATGTGAAACAATTACAGGTTTTCATTGTACACTCACTTGGCAGGACGGTAGTACCTCCCTGGGCGGTTGTTGTTTACCAACCTGCTACCTAGGACGAGTACTAATATTGTAATAATTTTATCATCATCTTTTATTTTATTTTATTATCACACTGGCCGATTCCCACCAAGGCAGGGTGGCCCGAAAAAGAAAAACTTTCACCATCATTCACTCCATCACTGTCTTGCCAGAAGGGTGCTTTACACTACAGTTTTTAAACTGCAACATTAACACCCCTCCTTCAGAGTGCAGGCACTGTACTTCCCATCTCCAGGACTCAAGTCCGGCCTGCCGGTTTCCCTGAACCCCTTCATAAATGTTACTTTGCTCACACTCCAACAGCACGTCAAGTATTAAAAACCATTTGTCTCCATTCACTCCTATCAACACGCCACGCATGCCTGCTGGAAGTCCAAGCCCCTCGCACACAAAACCTCCTTTACCCCCTCTCTCCAACCTTTCCTAGGCCGACCCCTACCCCGCCTTCCTTCCACTACAGGACTGATACACTCTTGAAGTCATTCTGTTTCGCTCCATTCTCTCTACATGTCCGAACCACCTCAACAACCCTTCCTCAGCCCTCTGGACAACAGTTTTGGTAATCCCGCACCTCCTCCTAACTTCCAAACTACGAATTCTCTGCATTATATTCACACCACACATTGCTCTCAGACATGACATCTCCACTGCCTCCAGCCTTCTCCTCGCTGCAACATTCATCACCCATGCTTCACACCCATATAAGAGCGTTGGTAAAACTATACTCTCATACATTCCCCTCTTTGCCTCCAAGGACAAAGTTTCTTTGTCTCCACAGACTCCTAAGTGCACCACTCACTCTTTTCCCCTCATCAATTCTATGATTCACCTCATCTTTCATAGACCCATCCGTGACACGTCCACTCCCAAATATCTGAATACATTCACCTCCTCCATACTCTCTCTCTCCAATCTGATATTCAATCTTTCATCACCTAATCTTTTTGTTATCCTCATAACCTTACTCTTTCCTGTATTCACCTTTAATTTTCTTCTTTTGCACACCCTACCAAATTCATCCACCAATCTCTGCAACTTCTCTTCAGAATCTCCCAAGAGCACAGTGTCATCAGCAAAGAGCAGCTGTGACAACTCCCACTTTGTGTGTGATTCTTTATCTTTTAACTCCACGCCTCTTGCCAAGACCCTCGCATTTACTTCTCTTACAACCCATCTATAATATATTAAACAACCACGGTGACATCACACATCCTTGTCTAAGGCCTACTTTTACTGGGAATAATTCCCTCTTTCCTACATACTCTAACTTGAGCCTCACTATCCTCGTAAAAACTCTTCACTGCTTTCAGTAACCTACCTCCTACACCATACACTTGCAACATCTGCACATTGCCCCCCTATCCACCCTGTCATACGCCTTTTCCAATCCATAAATGCCACAAAGACCTCTTTGCCTTATCTAAATACTGTTCACTTTAGTTTCACTGTAAACACCTGGTCCACACCCCCTACCTTTCCTAAAGCCTCCTTGTTCATCTGCTACCCTATTCTCCGTCTTACTCTTAATTCTTTCAATAATAACTCTACCATACACTTTACCAGGTATACTCAGCAGACTTATCCCCGTATAATTTTTGCACTCTCTTTATCCCCTTTGCCTTTATACAAAGGAAACTATGCATGCTCTCTTGCCAATCCCTAGGTACTTTACCCTCTTCCATACATTTATTAAATAATTGCCCCAAACCCACTCCAAAACTATATCCCCACCTGCTTTTAACATTTCTATCTTTATCCCATCAATCCCGGCTGCCTTACCCCTTTCATTTTACCTACTGCCTCACGAACTTCCCCCACACTCACAACTGGCTCTTCCACACTCCTACAAGACGTTATTCCTTCTTGTCCTATACACGAAATCACAGCTTCCGTATCTTCATCAACATTTAACAATTCCTCAAAATATTCCCTCCATCTTCCCAATACCTCTAACTCTCCATTTAATAACTCTCCTCTCCTATTTTTAACTGACAAATCCTATTTGTTCTCTAGGCTTTCTTAACTTGTTAATCTCACTCCAAAACTTTTTCTTATTTTCAACAAAATTTGTTGATAACATCTCACCCACTCTCTCATTTGCTCTCTTTTTACATTGCTTCACCACTCTCTTAACCTCTCTCTTTTTCTCCATATACTCTTCCCTCCTTGCTTCACTTCTACTTTGTAAAAACTTCTCATTATGCTAACTTTTTCTCCCTTACTACTCTCTTTACATCATCATTCCATCAATCGCTCCTCTTCCCTCCCGCACCCACTTTCCTGTAACCACAAACTTCTGCTGAACACTCTAACACTACATTTTTAAACCTACCCCATACCTCTTCAACCCCATTGCCTATGCTCTCATTAGCCCATCTATCCTCCGATAGCTGTTTATATCTTACCCCAACTGCCTCCTCTTTTAGTTTATAAACCTTCACCTCTCTCTTCCCTGATGCTTCTATTCTCCTTGTATCCCATCTACCTTTTACTCTCAGTGTAGCTACAACTAGAAAGTGATCTGATATATCTGTGGCCCCTCTATAAACATGTACATCCTGAAGTCTACTCAACAGTCTTTTATCTACCAATACATAATCCAACAAACTACTGTCATTTCACCCAACATCATATCTTGTATACTTATTTATCCTCTTTTTCTTAAAATATGTATTACCTATAACTAAACCCCTTTCTATACAAAGTTCAATCAAAGGGCTCCCATTATCATTTACACCTGGCAACCCAAACTTACCTACCACACCCTCTCTTAAAGTTTCTCCTACTTTAGCATTCAGGTCCCCTACCACAATTACTCTCTCACTTGGTTCAAAGGCTCCTATACATTCACTTAACATCTCCCAAAATCTCTCTCTCTCCTCTACATTCCTCTCTTCTCCAGGTGCATACACGCTTATTATGACCCACTTTTCGCATCCAACCTTTACTTTAATCCATATAATTCTTGAATTTACACATTCATATTCTCTTTTCTCCTTCCATAACTGATCATTTAACATTACTGCTACCCCTTCTTTTGCTCTAACTCTCTCAGATACTCCAGATTTAATCCCATTTATTTCCCCCCACTGAAACTCCCCTACCCCCTTCAGCTTTGTTTCGCTTAGGGCCAGGACATCCAACTTCTTTTCATTCATAACATCAGCTATCATCTGTTTCTTGTCATCCGCACTACATCCACGCACATTTAAGCATCCCAATTTTATAAAGTTTTTCTTCTTCTCTTTTTTAGTAAATGTCTACAGGAGAAGGGGTTACTAGCCCATTGCTCCCGGCATTTTAGTCGCCTCATACGACACGCATGGCTTACGGAGGAAAGATTCTTTTCCACTTCCCCATGGACAATAGAAGAAATAAAGAAGAACAAGAGCTATTTAGAAAAAGGAGAAAAACCTAGATGTATGTATATATATATGCATGTGTGTGTCTGTGAAGTGTGACCAAAGTGTAAGTAGGAGTAGCAAGATATCCCTGTTATCTAGCGTGTTTATGAGACAGAAAAAGAAACCAGCAATCCTACCATCATGCAAAACAGTTACAGGTTTCTATTTCACAGTCATCAGGCAGGACGGTAGTACTTCCCTGGGTGGTTGCTGTCTACCAACTGTCTACCAACCACAAATCTCTAAATCATGTACACAATTAACCCTACTGCAAGACTAATATCTGACTTACTGGCTTGTCAGAGCTCACCAGTAAGCACAAAACTACCAACAAGTCAGTAAAACTTTTATTTAACAGATTTTGGATTTAGCAGCCAAAATCTGGACAAAGACTAAAGTCCCTCTGATGTTTCCAGAATTGTCTTGTTATTGTTATTATCTGCTAGGTAAATTAATTTTGAAAACATTGGACAAAATCTGTTGTTTCCACAATATCTGCTGCTTCCAGACATTTATTTCTATTAATGTCAGAGTCCACTACGCAATCTGCTTTTGGAAACAAAGGACGAAGTCTGTTGTTTCTAGAATTGTTCATTGATTTAAAGATTACAGCAAAATCTCATTTTTTAGATTTAACAGTTAGCTGACAGTATCAGACACATGCAACACCTATGTATCATTTATTAACAAGATGTATCATGTGTGCCGCTGGCTTCTTTTTTTATTTAATACAAGGGTGACTTTTATATTGGAAATGGTAGAAGTGGAGAGGTAATTTTAGAAGATTCATTCCCTTAATCTTGACAGATGTTCAATCGCTCAGCCCTGATCTATTTTAAGCAGAGGAATAAGAATGGAGACTTTATGCAGAAACAGAGGAGAAATGCAGTACAGTACGTATATGTAAAAGTCTCTACCCCCATACCTCTGACTAAGACAGATCAAGGCTAAGGGACTTAACAACTCCTGTTAAGGCTAAGGGACTGAATACATCAAAATTGCCCCCCCCCCTCTCCTTTCATTGTCTTTAGTATTATAGTCAACCTCTGTGCAAGACTGAAAAATCTTGCTGCACAGGTACAACATTTCATCAATGATGATACCCAAGTGTTGCATGTCTTTTTCATCAATAGAGGTACAGCAGTTGAAGACATCATCCCAGGTTGGTGGGACCCACTGGTGGAAGTAGGTCATGCCCAAAAGTTGAGCCAAAGGTTTGAAAAGGAATTGTAGACATATTCTGTACCAAGATTCCATGATATTACCGTGTCAGACAAGTATCATTAAATAATGTCACAGTATACAATTCCAACAAGTTGAGGAATAAGACACAAGTGCAACACCTGGGTAACTTTACTGACAAGATGTTTCACCTGTGCAGCAGGCTCTTTCAATCTCATATAAAGGCAATTTTTATACTGGTTATAGCAGAAGTAGAGAGGTCATTTTAAGTGTTTGAGTCCATTATTAACCTTAATAAAGGATGCTGTCCCTTAGTCTTGATTTATCCAAAGCAGAGGAATAAGGATTGAGATATATATTGGAGCCAGAGGAAAGGTGCAGTAGTTGAAAACATTATCACAGATGGGCAGGACTTTCTGATTAGTGTGGATGTAAATTTAAGGTGTTTAGTTCCTTAGCCTTGATTAACAAGTGTTTAGTTCCTTATCCTTAGTGAATCTAATACAGAGGCTCAACAATGGAGGCATTTATACTGCAGCCAATAGAAGAAGTGGTGAGGTACAATAATCAAGGATACTATTACAGGTGGGTGGGACCCATGAGTGGAAGTAAGTCATACCCATTAAGATGACCTGGTGTAAACAATGGAGTTGTAGAAAATATCCTCTGTATTACGATTCCACAGTGTGTGTATGTCAGACAAGTACTGTATTATTAGATCCTATACATCCCATGTTATAACAAACTCAAACAAAATTTTATGACTCATAATCCATTTTGGGAAAATGCATCAAGATCTGATTGTGCTTTTAAGTCCATAAAAAAGAGTATAATACAAGAAAACAGATTGGTAGTTTCTGATACAGAAATTTGGTACACTTATGAATGGAGTCAGAAAAACCAATTACGTAGTCTACCTCGAGTCCTTGGAGTTGAGAAGTATTGTGCCTGTATTCTGAAGGAGGGGTGAGGTTGTTGCAGTTTGGAGGGCAATATGAACTCTGACATCAGCACACTTCTGGCAAGACAGTGAATGAATGAATGAATGTAAATGTGTTTCCTAAATTTTTTCAGGGGTCACCCTACCTCGGTGGGAGATATCTAGTGCGTTAAAAATGTAAAACAAAAAACATTTACAGTACTTGAATTACAGTTTGGGAAATCACCAGAAGGGGCCCCAAAAGACAGTAGTATGATATAAAGGCTAAAAACTTTAAAAATAATAATAAAAACAGAATAATATGAGCTTAGCTTCATGTACTGTTAATTACAAACATGAACTACAATACACAAATAACCCGCACATAGAAGAGAGGAGCTATGACAACGTTTCAGTCCGACTTGGACCATTTACAAAGTCACACTAACTAAAGGAGAGAAGGAGAGAGTATATATAGGCCAGCAGACAGGGACAGGACAAGAGAGGCAGTAGGAAAGGAAAAATAGTAGTGGTAGAGGTAGTAGTAGTACTAGTAGTGGAGTCAAAGACTAAGAAAGAGGAGCACTACAAGGGAGCTAGGGGCCCCACAAAGGATAGGAACAAGAACAAAGAGGGGGGAAAATAATAGTAATGGACCAAAAAACCCAAGGCAGGAGAAAGAAAACCCAAAGGCATGAATCATGTATGAATCTTAGTCCTGGCTTTGTCTCTGTAAAATGCTCCAAACTTCAGAACACCTGTGACAATCTCATACTTTTTCCCTCTTCTCCCTCTTCCCTTTCCTCTTTCCTCTTTCTCCTGTGGGTTTTCTTTCTCTGCCTTGGTGTTTTTTTGAGTCCATTACTATTATTCCCTCCCCCCTGTGTTTTTGTTCCTACCCTTTGTGAGCCCCAAGCTCCTTTGTAGTGCCCCTCTTCCTTAGTCTTTGGCTGGCTCCACTACAACTACTACTACTACCTTTTCCACTACTTTTCTTCCTTTCCTACTACTTCTCTTATCTCATCCCTGTCTGCTGGCCTATCCATACCCCCTCCTCTCCTTTTGTTAGTGTGACTTTGTAAATGGTCCAAGTAGGACCGAAATGTCGTCATAGCTCCTCTCTCCTATGTGGGGGTTATTTGTGTATTGCTCCAGTCACGTTATTGTGCCTTCTTGTTATTTATGAACTACAACTAAAAATATAAATTACTGTACATACATACAAACTCAGAGATTAAAGCTGAATCATTCAAAATATGATTTAAATGCTGGAGGCTTAAAGTAACTCCAGTTGGTGTAAAACATTTTAACATATAGTGAATAGGGTAGCATTTTTATTGGTACAGCATATACAAATGCTACTCTATACTGTACAGGTGTGTACTTCTAAAATAAGAAGCCACACCACAAAAATGTAGCATTCCGAGTACCTATATTGAAAATTTTGTTATAGATATCCATAAAAATATACCTTAATAATGAAGAGAGCATTGCTGATTCCTTTGAAGGCATTTACCAATGACAAATATTCCTCCTCAGCGAAATAACATCTAATCATGAAGAGCTTCTAAAAACCATTTCTGCAAATATCAAGTTCAATTAATAGATAATGCACAATATTGCTGCTTGTGCAGCATTATTATTAGGCAGAACAATTTTCTCTACACTTCTGAAGTAGCCAATTATGTATTAATATCACTATATTCATGGAAAATGCTAAGTGCTAAGGGTAAATCAGTGCTAGACAGCAGATGTGAAAGATGGTAGAGAGGCGGTAGCATTGAGGGAAAGAAATAAAGGAGGATAAAATGGCCAAGGAAGCAATACCTTTAGACAACAGTGTGAAGTTTTTAATGAAGAAGAAAAGTACTTGAATATCAATAGCAAATTAATTTTTTTTAGCACATAGATAGCTCAGTGGAACTTTTCGGTATCACACCTACTTCAGCCTAATACAATTTAGCAGTACATATTCTGAAAGCTAGCATAACTTATGGTGAAAGTACTGTACTGACCTCCAACAAGAGTGAATACTAAAAATCCAAATTGTCAAAGAATCATTTGCCAAAGTCAGTTTTGAAATATTTATTAATGGTTTTTATTTATTAATGGTTTTTAATGCTATTTATTAATGGTTTTGGAGAGAGCGTATAAACTTATGTGTAATCAGATTATAAACTTATGTGTAATCAGATTATAAAGTCAACTTGGCAAAGATATGGCCGAGGATGACTGTCTGGAGAGTGATAATGCATATTAACTGGTTTTTCTTTTGAGCATGTATATGTATCAAATTATATGTAGTAAAGTATGACCCCTGTATCCACAGATTCGGCTGCCATGGTTCACCATGGCCTGAAAATAAGCCTTAATTTTGCTTAATAATGACCCCAAGCACAAAAGTAGTGATGGTGGCAGTTCTTCAAAGCCTAAGAGAAGCTGTGAAGTGCATCCCATCAGCAAAAAAGTGCTAATTCTTCACTTATTGTGTGAAATTTATCAATTAAACTTTATCATAGGTATGTGTGTAAATATAAGAAAGACATGCAGCTAATTGCTATCCAGTTTCAGGCATCCAAGGCAGGTCTTGGAACATATCCCCCGTGGATACGGGGAACTACTATATATCATAATTATATCACAAATGAAGTATAACTCAGTCATTGCAGCTTCTAATTATATTTTGGGGGAAATAGATTTTGACTATGACTTTTTTAACTGTGATACAGAAAATCAATAATATAAAAAAAAATCTCATCATAACACCTCACTTTACATATGTTCTTCTATAGTAAGTTTATTTAAGTACAGGTACAAATAAGTACAATTATCATACATAGTTTAACATGTGTAAATTACCTAGGGTAACCCCCCCCAAAAAAGTAAAACAAAGTGACTAATTTCCACTGGAATTTTCATACATAAGACAACATTTCTGCAGCCCTTCACAGTCCTTCTTTTTTATTACAAAAGTGGAGCAGAGGAAGACAACTAAGATTTATTTATTTTTGCTATGGTCTAGACAGCACACAGATATTATGTACACATGAAAAGAGTAATGAACATAAATTTAATATACGTACAGTAATACTTATACGAGCACTAATATCATGCATCCTCACGACTACTGTGAAAAATAAAATTTTGTAGAGTAAGCAATCAATTTAATTTGCATCAGAAATACAGAACAAAATCTACTGGGTCAACCGATTCAGAAACAACAGACAAAAGAATTGTTCATTATTACAATCACAGCAAAACAATTTCGTTTCCATCCACAAACATCATCACCGACCATCTTCTCTCCAATATTAGTTCACTGAATTATAGGTTTACTAAATGCCAAAATTAAAACTTAATTTACATCATTATATTCAGGGGAAGTGCCAAGCCCATAGGGGGTTGTACAGCACCTGGGAAATATAGAAATATAAATTTATTTTTTTACACAGAATTGAGCGACACTTTGCACGTCAAAATCCCGCGGTCACACAGATCACTTCAGACAACTTTTAGCCTAACTTAAGAGTATAAGGGCATATCATTATACATTATTATGAAAAAAAAAAATTAGTGGGATTATAGACTATTAAGTTTGTAGGTACTATTTGTTTCATATGATGTAAGAATCAATTGGGCTTGATCCAAGGAAGGAAAGGATACTTTCAATTCCTTGGATGAAAAGCACAACTTCTTTTGAGAGGTACCTACTTACAATCTACAAATTAAAACGTGACTTCTCTAGGGTGGCATTATTAACCAGTGAGGGTCGGCAGCCCTAAGTGACAATCTCAAAACTGTACCAATAAAACAGTTGCTACTAGTGTGACATTTCCCACTAAACATGATCAGTATCATTTTATTACAAGAGCAAGAAGTCCAGTGGAAATAAAGTCACACTGAGTTTATTAGCCTGAGTTATATCTTTATGACGTACTTTTTGTGTGTTTGTAACATGTGTGTCCTAACACCATTGTAAAATATATAATTAATGGGAAGTGTTAAACAAGTAGGGGAGGGGGGATGGGTCATGCAGTGCCTGGGGTATGAGGGGCATTCTGGTTCCATCCAAGGAACGGATATGCAATTCCCTTGAATCAAGAGCTCTTCACCAGTGTCATAGCACCTCTTTTAAAGGATAAATATTCAGGTGATTCACTTATTAAGTGTTATAGCTTCACTGTTGGCACTGTTAACACTTGCTGCCTCCCTAACACTTCACCTGTCACTCTCTCTGGCACTCACCAACAATCATCAATTTACTCCATAATCCCGGCTGCTTCGAACTTACGTTCATATATATTCACTCCATTAATAACAGGTTCATTTTAGGGAGAAAGGTTATAGCTTTTTTACGCCATTTTTAAACGCTTTTTATTATTATTATTTACTTATGGCCCGTTATCCCTTGACAACTGAACCCATTTTTGTTTTCATAAATTTGTTGAGTGAACTGAAAGTTTTGAAGATAATTTTCTATTGGTGTGTAGAAATATTCATTTGAATATAAAAGGAAAAAATTTCCCC